CTGCCCTCCTCTGCGCTCCTCGGCGCTCCTCTGCGCTTCTCTGCCCTCCTCTGCACTTCTCTGCACTTCTCTGCCCTCCTCTGCGCTTCTCTGCGCTCCTCTGCACTTCTCTGCACTTCTCTGCGCTCCTCTGCGCTCCTCTGCGCTTCTCTGCGCTTCCCTGCGCTTCCCTGCGCTCCTCCGCTCTCCTCTGCTTACAGCAAGCAGTTTACTAGAAAGGATTTGTTTAAATTTAAGTACACTAGTCTTCAAAATCTCTGCAACCTTGCCGAGAAGGATCTCTTTTTTTTCGGGAAGTAACTTGATTTGCATTCGCTCTCAATTCCTTTCCATGAAAAGAATCCAAATCACTTGAAAGAGCTAAAAGAGCACTACTTTCACCTTGTTTTTTTAGCATTCAGCTTTTAATCTACATGATTTTTACTTATAATATAAACTCTTTAATAAATTTTACAATAATCTAAGAAATTATTAAAATAATATCTTATTTGATTATCAATTTTGATACAAAAATCTAATAAAAGCAAAAATTCAGTTTATTTTTCATAAAACCCACTTCCAGATTCCAAAAAAAATCTGTTTTCTTTCTTTTTCTCATTCTTTACATTTCTAAGTGACTTCTATTCTCAGCTCTGTTTCTTCTTTCCTCTTTTTGCAGCTATTCTCCAGCTATCCTCCAGCTATCCAGCCTTTCCTCAACCATTTCTGCACAACTTTGAAAGCTTGAGTAGCTCTTTAAACGCCTACATACCTATTTTGAGTAAATTCCTAGCTATTTTAGAGATAAATTCCACAGATTCTAGAGAATTTTGAACGTAAATGATCCTGGGAAAGTCTTTTTTTGGTTTTTTTTGATTGGTGCTGGGTAGTGGAAAGAGGTAATAGGTAAATTGCTTGAAATTGAGCTAAAATAGCTAGGAAACTTCAAAACAACAGATCATTGAACTTTTTTTTGAACAATTTCTATATATTTGCTATAGAAAATGAACTAAATAATGGTTTTTGGAAGCTTTTATATGCGATTCATCATTTCATCTTTTCTTCTAGATCTTTAGACTTAAAATCAACCACAAAACATTCAGATTTATAGAATAAGAACCAAGATTTGTATAAATGTTGATCCGTTCTCTTCAGAATCTCTATCCAGCCTTTCCTCAACCATTTCTGCACAACTTGGAAGCTTGAGTAACTCTTTAAACGCCTACATACCTATTTTCTTTTCTTCTAGATCTTCAGACTTAAAATCAACCACAAAACATTCAGATTTATAGAATAAGAACCAAGATTTGTATAAATGTTGATCTGTTCTCTTCAGAATCTCCTGAAAACCTTTTGCTTTCTAAGGAGAAAGCTATCGCTCACAAAAGAGGAAAGAGGAAAGGGGAAAGAGTGAATAATTCAAGCTCTCGGGCCCGGCCCACTCCTCTCACCGCCTTAGATCCTCTCTAAAACTCTCTAAACCTCTCTAAACCCTGCCAAGGTGAGCTAGTTAGCCTTTTTCTTGAAAATTTCATAAAAATCTCATGAAAATCTCATGAAATCACTTAAGAATTCACGCGTTCTCACTCTAGCGTAGATTCATCGGCATTGATCTCCTTTCAAAGATGATTTCATTTTGAAAAGATTCTATTTCTTTTTGGTTTTTTTGGTTTTTCTTGATATTCTGCAGAGGCTTTGATAGAATTTTAATAGAATTTTAATAGATTTTTGATAGAATTTCGTTTTAAAGGCTTTTAGAAAGAATCTTGGATAGAATTTGAATAGATCAAGAAGAGATTCTTGTTTTCATTATCCTAAATTCTATTCTTATTCAAACTTATTGATCTAAAAGTCTAAAAATACATTTTCTCTTTTCTCAGTGATTTTAAAACCTTTCTAAACTTATTCAATCAATAATTACTTTAAAAATCTAACTTTTATTCTACTTATCTTTACTTGTTTTCTCTAATTTTAATCTTTGCCGTTTTCTTTAACGATAATTGTGAAGAGATTTCTTTACAACCCTCTCATAACTCATTTCTGTCGATTCACATGTGTGACAAGGGAGAAAAAAGAGAAAGAGACAGCCCCAATTTCCTGTGAACCCATCTCAGTTCCAACTCTGAAACTTTTTCTGAATAATCTTTTATTTGGAAATAGCTACTGTCTATGATTTCTTGAGCTTTACTTCAGACTCTATTAGACAAAGGTCGATCCGATCCAGTCCGATCCGTTCAAGTCCGATCCAGTCAAGTCCAATCCGATCCAGTCCAATCCGATCCAGTCCGATCAAGTCCAATCCACTCCAGCCCGATCCGTTCAAGTCCAATCCACTCCAGCCCGATCCGTTCAAGTCCAATCCACTCCAGCCCGATCCGTTCAAGTCCAATCCACTCCAGCCCGATCCGATCAAGTCCAATCCAATCCAGTTCAATCCGGTCAAGTCCGATCCTATCCAGTCCAATCCAGAGTCAAGTTTGGTTCACTCTAATCAAACTAGCTTGATTCTGGTCCTTAGAAACCAAATCTATGCCTGGGTTTAAGCTTGCTTTCGTTTATTTTCCCTGGCTGCCTGATATCGACTCTAGAGTTTAAACATCTCCAACAAAATTCGCAGATCCATTCCAACTCTCTACCCCAATCTCTCCCTTGATCAAAGCAATAATTATGTCATTATTTGGCGGTTTTCATTTGACCACATAGCTTCATAGCTTCCGGTTTCCGGATCTTATTCGGTCATTACTATCTGATGACTTTCCAAAAGAAATCCCTATTCCCTCATTTTAGTCCTTAAAAGGTGCCGACTTTTCTTTTCTAGGCTTTCCTTGGCTTTTCTTGATCTCTTTCTTGGTCTCTTTCTTGGTCTCTTTCTTGGTCTTAGCTCTCTTTTTCTTTAGACTCTCAACTGGCGCCAGATTGCCTCAATTAGGAACCTTATTCCCTTATAGATGACCCTTTTTGGAAAGAGCAATTGTGACATTAGTTGGCGCTAGATTGAACACAACTATTTGGGAATTTGGGAAATGATCAGGTGAAGAGGTGGAGAGTTCAAAAGTAGCCAGTCTTGGCCTAGTGTCAGATCTAGATTCCGGTTCAGTTACACAGTTTGGCTTAGGCTGAAGTTTGTCCTTTGTTCAAAAAGGCTGAAGCTTGTTCCAAAAGGCTGAAGCTTTTCGCTTCTAGAGACAACAATGACTATGAGTCAAGTCAAAGTGAATCAACGAGAAAACTGGAGTAAATTGGATGGCCTTTAATCGAACTTTAATCGGACTGAACTCGAAAAAACTATGCTTAAACAAAAACGAATCAAATCAAACGCTTTTTCTTGACATTTTCTTTATAAATGTCTTTCTTTCTTTTCTTTAGGAAATTCTTGAACTTAAACCTCTTACTAATACCGTTTGATGTTTTTTTGATTGACACAGATGTCTCAGTCAGAAAATATTCTCTAAAAATGCTGCCAGATGCTCTTTGGAGAGCTTTTCTTTGGATTTCTTTGGGCTTCTTTGGGTTTCTTTTGAGAATTCAAGGACATGTTTCGATTTTTTGCTCAAGTATCATCAAAAAGAGTGAGTGTTCGTTGATTTAAGTGGAGAAAAGACATTGCGCAATGTTCCTAAAACAGTAATCATTTCAAATGCGTAATTAGATTCAAATCCAGATCTTTATTAGAGAAATTGATTTGATTTAAATTAAATTAAATTAAATTAAATTAAATTCAAATTCTTATCATTTCAAAGTACAAAAATGAGATTTTCCTTCGTTTTCTCTGTTTTCTTTAATGATTTCTTTATACAAAATGATTTAAAAGTCAAAATTTTCGTTATCAAATAGATCTTTTAAAGCTTTTAAAGAAATATTTAGGGAAATTCTTGAACTTAAACCTCTTACTAATACCGTTTGATGTTTTTTTGATTGACACAGATGTCTCAGTGAGAAAATATTCTCTAAAAATGCTGCCAGATGCTCTTACAACCTACATCCTCTTACTTTAATCTCAAATATTATTAGGAATGGAAATTTACTATTAAAACTGTTACATTACAACTATAAGTAGTACTATGATCAGTTAGAATTTCGCTTTTAAAAGAAATCTATTCAATTTTAATAGAAACTATTCAATTTTAATAGAAACTATTCAATTTAAAAAGAAACCAATTTAATTTTAAAGGAAACTATTCAATTTAAAAAGAAATCTATTCAATTTAAAAAGAAACCTATTCAATTTTTTAACAGAAATCTATTCAATTTTAATAGAAATTATTCAATTTTAAAAGAAACTATTCAATTTAAAAAGAAACCAATTCAATTTTAATAGAAACTATTCAATTTTAAAAGAAATCTATTCAATTTTAATAGAAATTATTCAATTTTAAAAGAAACTATTCAATTTTAAAGGAAATCTATTCAATTTTATAAGAAACTATTCAATTTTAAAGGAAACTATTCAATTTTAAAAGAAACTATTCAATTTTAAAAGAAATCTATTCAATTCCAATGATTCTTTCAATTCCAATGATTCTTTCAATTCCTTCATCGAGTTGAAAGCCGTTAGTGATTCTAGACAAAGATTAGACAAAGATTAGACAAACTTAAAACAAACTAAGTATTACTTTTTCTTTTAGTTAATCATTTTTATTGTCTTCGGATTGTGAATGATCTTTGATTTTCCTGAGATTGAATCAAATTGAACACTTTTGAATGGAAATATTTAGAATCACTTTCAATGGAACTATTTAGAACCAAATCGGTTCAGTGTTTTTGTTTTTAATGTTTGATGATGTTTTTAAGCCAGAATTTATTCTATTTATTCTATTTATTCTATTTATTCCCTTGTTTCTACCTTTTTCCTTAAAACAAAAGAGAATTCTTAACTTAAATTCAGCTTCTCTTACCATAATCTCTCTTGTTTTTCTATTTTTTTCTATTTTTTCTTTAAACCCAATATTTAACTATTAAAATATAAAGAAATTTAAGAATTCTATGTGAAAAAAGTCGTCTTTGCAATCATCTTCAACAAAATGAGCACTCAAATCTGTCTGCTCATCATTTTACTATTATTCTTTGGAGAAACGAGAAGCTCTGGTAAGTAAGTTCAAAGATGGCAAGATTGACCTCTGATTGACCAAAACAATGCTTTAAAGCCATGAACAAGCCATGAACAAGCCATGTTCTAGACAAAAGCTAGATCCTAACCTTCTAGCATTGTCCGGCTTGAATCTATTAACTTCCCTATCACTGAAATAATCTCAAAAGCTCAACCTGAACTCAATCCATTTAACCGAAGACTCTAATTGATCTCTAATTGACCAAAACAATGCTTTAAAGCCATGAACAAGCCATGAACAAGCCATGTTCTAGACAAAAGCTAGATCCTAACCTACTAGCATTTCATTCAACAATTGTCCAATTGTCCAAATGTCCAATTGTCCAAATGAAATCCTACAAGGCAAAACTTGAAAGTGTAATTCCTTTAAATACAATCTAGATTGATTAAGTCGATTGGACTTTAGTCAGACAAAATCTATAAAATCTACAAAATCTACAACATCTACAAAAGAATTTAAATCTATTTCTTCACTTATTTCCAAAAAAAGCCATAGTGCTTTCCTTTTCCGAGATCGCCTGAGTGTCTTTGCGTAAATCAATTTGTTGCAAATTTAATTTTCGCGCCTTGGTGTAGATTTTTTTTTTCACGAAACCCATTGAAAAGTGAATTCTCGCACTTGAGAATGGATTAAAGACAAAAAGCCAAAACGAAAAGAAAAACAAGTATTGAATTGAATATTACATTGATCTATTGACTTTTCAGAAAACTATGAGCTCCGGATACACGAGGGAGCGAAAAGCGGTGTTCGAATGACGATGGGAATCGAGTTTCAGAGAAAGATGGACGGTTTAAAGCATTGTTTTGGTCAATTAGAGACTTCGGTTGAATGGATTGAGTTCAGGTTGAGTTTTTGAGAGTATTTCAGTGATAGGGAAGTTAATAGATTCAAGCCGGACAATGCTAGAAGGTTAGGATCTAGCTTTCGTCTAGATCTTGGCTTGAGTTTGAATTCTGAGACATTAATGAGTTTAGAAATCTAAATGTAAATGTAAACTTTAGAGCCGCGCGATCCGCTTTCTACACGAATGAACCAGTGCCTTATTTTGATGCAAAAAAGGCACCAAATTTGGAAGGAACACTTCACTTGTGAGTCTTAAAATTCTCTTCTCTTCCTTTGACGTTTTCTTCTCTTCCGTTGACATTTAAATGTTTAAATCTTCAAAATAAAAGCGCAAAAATCAAATTCTTATCTTAATAATCATTTAAATCTGATCAAAAGCTTTCTTTAGATTATGCACGGGAAATAAAATGATCTCTCTTTCATTCCACGTTCATATCACTCGTTTAAATCGTCATCCACCAACATTTGTCAATGGAAATGACTTTACTTTCTATGTTCCAATCGATATACGAAAAGAAGAACTTGGAGAAATTGCGACTTTACAAGTAAGAGCTTTGAAATCAAGAGTTGAATCATCACAGATTTTCTCATTTAGCTAAAACTTGGAGAGGTTTGGAAGTGTTTTTTTTGAAGCTAGATCACCCCTCAAAAGAAAGCTGACCTGCTTTAACCTGCTTGAATTCAAAGTTCAATGTTTCCCGTTTGAATTTCTAGGTAGAAGATGTCGATACAGTGATTTACAACTCACAACGAATGCTTCGATTCACAAAGGATCAATCATTATTCACAATTGAGTCTGATGGAAGGCTGAGATTGAAAAGCACATTGACAAGTCAACAACCATATAAACCAATCCATTTTGAGGTATTTTGAGGCTATTTTTGAAGTTTTTTTCATAGAAATCCACCAGAACATTGAACAAACATGAAATTAAACAAAAAAAATTTGTTTTTAGGTATTAGCAATCGATTTTGGCAGCCCACAATTGCATACAATTGCTAATGTGACTGTGATTCCGGTGACTGTTTCAAGTGAGTGCAATTTGGAGATTCAGAATTGAATCGAGAATTGAAATGAATCGTATTTGATCGATAATCTGTAGGAGTCGAGAATTTGAAAGTGAACGTGGCCACGGATGATTATCAAATCTTTGAATGGGATAAGCCGAAATATGGAGTGGCTACAAAATACAGGTTTTCTTTGGGAAATTCAATGCTAATACTTACCGTAAATACTGTAATAGTACCCCGCCCGCATAATGACAGTGCAGAGCGTTGCGTAGTCTAGCTTTGGACACGTTTTTCTCGACACTGGTTTAAGCTACAATGCTACAACATATATCAAAAAATAGCTGAAATTCAGGGCTATCTTTTGATACCTAAACGAGCATTGTAGCTTAAACCAGTGCCGAGAAAAACGCGTCCAAAGCTAGACTACGCAACACTCCGCACCGTCATTATGGGGGTGGGTTTATGCTACAATGCTACAACATATATCAAAAAATAGCTGAAATTCAGGGCTATTTTTTGATACCAAAGTGCGCATTGTAGCATAAAGATGCGCGGAGAACGGGATGTTTAAAGTTAGACTACGCAACCATCCCGAGAAAACGCGTTTTTCTCGACACTGGTTTATGCTACAATGCTCACTTTGGTATCAAAAAATAGCTGAAATTCAGGGCTATTTTTTGATACCAAAGACGCATTTTTTGAAAGTACGGGCGCTTTGAAAAAAATGAAACACTAAAAAACTTTTGCGACTACACGACTGTACGAGGGGAGTCGGGTACTATTACAGTGTTTACGGTATATTTTATTGAGCTATCTTATCAATCTATCTTATAGATCTATCTAACTTATCTATCTAACTATCTGAGCTATCTTATCGATCTATCTTAACGATCTTATAGATAGAAATCTTCTAATATACATCAAGAATACAGAAAAACATTTAGATTAACGATTCGCAAGGGTGAATCGATTCTCTACGAAGAGGAGATGGACTCAAAGCATACAAGTGCTCTCACAAAGGTGAATTCAGGAAGATTTTGATGGATTTTGATGGATTTTGATGAATTTTGATGGATTTTGATCTAATTTTGATGGAATTTCAATGAAATTTCAATGAAATTCGAATAAAATCAACTTTTTTCTAGCATAGTCTCACAGAATTGGAAAGAATAACTGTAAGTTATCGAATAACTGTAAGTTACTGTAAGTTATCGGTGAAAAAAACAAAAATTTTACTCCCCACTGGTCAATATCGATGTTTAAAAGCATTAAACTGACTTTAGACTTTGGTTAGTGTTAACATCTAGAGCTTGTGTAGTTAGAGACAGTCTAGACTTCGTTAACATCTATAGCTTTTGTAGTTAGACTCTACACAGTCTAGACTTAGTTAACATCTAGAGCTTGTGGTTAGCTTTATTTTGTTTAATTATACCTTAAAAAGTAGAGAAATAAGCTTTTGATATAGCTTTTCATAGATATTGACTTAAAAGCTTTTTCTTTTTAAATCTGTAGTTAAAATGTAGTTGATGTGAATGTAAAAATGTTGTAAAAGAAAGAAAAGAAAGAAAAGAAAGAATATTCGAAGCTAGCTAGTTAAAAGGTTGATTGATTGATTGATTGATTGAAACAAGATCGATTTAGGTACCAATCGATGCTGGCGGTGATTTCTCATATCAAGTGACGTCTGTTGATCATACTGGAGAGACTCCATCAGAGATCAATCGATTTAGTGTCATTCAAAATGGTGAAGAAATGAATGCGAAGAGTTTCAATGAAGCAATTTAGATTTAACTTGCACAGGACAATGTGCTCAGGGTGGCGGCATTCCCCTTTGCCATTACGGACTGCATCAAGTTGTTCAACAGTACTCTGGTGAGTTTAAGTACTTGTATCTAATCCAGGAATAGATTCTAAACCAGGAATACACCAAGCATCTTTCTCTAAAAGACCAAGATCTCTAAAACCCTACAAGACAACCTTCTCGTTTCATTTCATTCTTGTTTTAGATGAACGAGGTCATCACTGTCATTGCTATCACGGATATTCTGGAAACACATGTCAATACACTGGTTGATCAATTTGCTAAATATTTAAGGTTTTTCTTAGATACTTGTCCAGCTGAGAAAACCTTAGACGTCTATGGAGGACTTGATTGGCCAGAGACACCGGTAAGTGCCAAGGCTGGTCGTTGATTGGATTTCTAGGCCAACCTCTAAGCCTAGCCTATATAAGCTTGGCTTTGAATTAGTTTCAGTTTTCCAGTCAAAACCAGTTTTGTCTGGCTTATTAGACAAGACAAGACAAGCCTACCATTGCTCAAATCAAGTTACTAGAAAAAGTCATATCTGCTGCTCAACTAAATGCGAAACTCTAGGTAAATTCCTCTGTGCCCGCTCCTTGTCCGTACAATCACGATGGAGAGACATTGTCTCGTGTCTGTGGCTGGGAACCGATCATGGGCAGAGCTGTGTGGCAACCGGCGTTAAACGCTGAGAAATGTGTTCCACAAGTAACCAAATTTCCACTAGAGTGAATAATTCTGTTGTATTGGTCGATACGGGAGTTGATAATGCTATTTAGAAAGTTCAAACTTGTAGATCTCACTCCTCACCCACCTCGGAATGATCGGCACATTCGCGGGGAAAGCAGACTCTACCTCTACAGTGCATACAGGTAGACTTTTAATCCCTACATCCTTGATCTACAGTAACCTTAAGTCTATCTATTTAGTCGTTCGCTATTTTCGAAAGCTGCTTAACGTGCCAGCATTTACTGCAATGCCCGATCCACATGCAATCATTCCACAAGGTATATTTCAAAGCTTTAGAACAAAGATTCTTATTGTAATTTACAGTATTCAACAAACAAAGACTCGATTTCTTTAATAAAACCCTTTAAAAGCGATTTCTAAACATTTAACCTTCATCTTTAGCCCAATCACCGGCACACTTTGATCAAAAGATTGCTGAGGAGGTGGTGCAAGTGGTGGAACAAGTTTTACATGTAAACATCTCAAATCTCAAAGGGAATGGAACGCAAGCAAGAGTCAGTGTTATTCTTTCGCTTAAAAATAAACCAACAATTAGGCTGATATGTGGTCAGTCCTTCGGGATTTCACCTTCCGTTTGCCTGTGCCAATGTCACTAGCCTCGTCCACTCATGGACTCCATTTACGGTGGGGATTTTGAGCTCTTTCTTTTACGATATCAAAAAGGGAGCTTGTAGGAAAGTTGTAGGATTACTGTAGGTTTACTGTAGCCAGTCTTGGTCACTGTAGCCAGTCTTGATAGCCAGTCTTGATCACTGTAGCCAGTCTTGGTCACTTCAGACTAAAATTGATATGCAAATGTGTCTGGGTTAAGAAGAAATGAGAAATAAACAACCAATCGAAAGTGCTGATTCGTCTGAGCTGAGATAGGATTTCATAAAATTCATTTCAACATCAACTTCTCAAGTTAATGTTGAAAGGATGCATTCAGTGCTCTAGATTCGTTTGTTCTTTCTCAGCTTAGCACAAAGTACACCCAAATCTATTCCAGAAACGGTGTGTTTCTATCTGCACAGTTGTTCTAAAGGAATCATACATTTTAGAGCCAATCATTGGCTTGCCGGTGCTGACAACTACAAGACTCTCGTCGGAGCATCGTGCTATGTAAAGGTGATCAATTTTAGAAAGATAATTGATATAATTAGAGCTGTAAGCCTAGTCAAAGCCTAGCTAAAGCCTAGTCAAAGCCTAGCCAAAGCTTAGCCAAAGCCTAGCTAAAGCCTAGTCAAAGCCTAGCCAAAGCCTAGCCAAAGCCTAGCCAAAGCTTAGCCAAAGCCTAGCTAAAGCCTAGTCAAAGCCTAGCCAAAGCTTAGCCAAAGCCTAGCTAAAGCCTAGTCAAAGCCTAGCCAAAGCTTAGCCAAAGCCTAGCTAAAGCCTAATCAAAGCCTAGCAAAGCCTAGCCAAAGCTTAGCCAAAGCCTAGCTAAAGCCTATCCAAAGCCAGCTTTCCTGCTTCATTCTTGAAAACAACTCTAACTTTTCTCTAGCTCTCCACCATTCAAAAGGACAACATCATTCGATCAATTTGTATGCAGAATGGAACCTTATTTGAAATGGTAAGTAAAAGAATTGAATACGAAGATCTTAGGAAAGATTTGTCAACTTCTCGTGCTTCAGATTGATGGAAGAAACCCAGTGCTATCACTTGAAGTCGACCGTCCCCTCCACAACTCATTCTCTCGAGTCAACTTCGGTCTTCGTCCACCATATCAAAACACAAGTGACAACTATACTTGTGTCATCTGGGATCAGCATGGTTTGTTTAAAAAAAATGAATTGTTAATTGGAGTTTATGCAGTGTGTGAGAGGGTACCGATTGGTCAATGATTATTAGATAAATTATTCCGAATATAACACAATTACTAATCTAGCGAAAAAATAGAATCAATCATTGGTTTCAGTGTTTCAAAGCCAAAGAAAAGCAATACAAAGTGGCCTCCGTCCATCACACAAAACGAGCTTTAGAGGAAGGACAAAAGATTCAGAGATATTCAAAGTCAAAGCATCAAATAAGCTTTCACAGAATTACTTTTCTGCACAAATGCTTTCGATTAGAAAAAAGATCGATTTATTCGATGTCTATTCGATGAATGAGTGGAAAGGAGAGGATTTAGACAACAACTACCAACAACTAAAATTTTAATCGAGCCTCTATCCCTTTTATCACACAAAACGAGCTTTAGAAGAAGGACAGGAAAATCAGAGATATTCAAAATCAAAATATTAAATAGGATTTCACAGAAAAGAGTTACTTTTCTGCACAGAGTTCTTCCATTTTCAGCTTCATTCAGCATTTTCAACTCCATTTTCAGCTCTTTCTTGGTCAACACGAAACATTCGTCGTCTCTCTGCTGATGATCACGGTTTTGTCGTTTGCGAATCGTCTCATCTAGGAGTTTTCGCATTATTACCAGTGAGTTTTGAAAGATTCAAGAAACAGGTTTGTTTGGTTAGAAAAAGATTGGTTAGATCCAAATCTAGAAGAGCTATTTAGGAATCTTTATTCATCACTCGATCTCCTCTCCTTTCTACTTTAACATCAACACTTCCAACAGTGACCTCAGGGATTTCTGTGATCGTTGCAGCAATCTTTCTCTTTATTGCAGCTTGTCAAAGGTAAGAGAAACGTTTTGATTTCTATATTTTGTTCTTTCAGAGCTCCATCCACTGACATCCATCTATTGTTACTCCTCTTCGACATTTTCTTGATACACTTTGTGCATTTAGCGCAATTGATTGGACCTCAGGTGATCAAAAATGTTAATATGGCTTTTACAAGGCGATAAGACACAATCTTTGTACAATCTTCGGCTTACAAGGATGTTATATCCTATAAGAAATGTATATTAGAAACATTTTACCAGCCAGTCATATATTTTTAAAGAGATTTTTGGCTTTTAGTTACTTAGAGCTTACTTTATTTGTATTTTTGAAAAGATTTTCCTCTAAAACAAATGTCTTTTCATTTATTCTTTTAGGAAACTGTCTTAATTTTATCAAAAAACAAATAGATCTTTTGATTTCTTCTATTCTTCTATTGTTTATTAGCTTTTTTATTGTTTGTTTAATGTTTATTAGCTTTATTAGCTTTATCAATGTTTATTAGCTTGAAGAGAGAAATTATTTTCATGAAATTTCTTTGAATTTTCTTTTTACTGAGTACGGCTATTATTCTAGGATCCACCGAAAAACAGAAAACCAAAAGAAAACGATTAGGGAAAAGTCCAAAAGCACTTTTGAGAGTAATATTCAAAATTTTGCAATAATAACAAGTGTCTAGTCAATCAAGGATTACGATATTTGTCATGAATATGTAAATTGTTCATTTTGCTTTACTCAATTCCTTCAATTCCTTCAATTTACTAGGTAATCCAGGGAAATTTGTGACGGAAATGACAAATACGAGATTGAGTAAACGTTGTGAAATTGAGGAATGAGAATCGTTTGTCTGAACTGAGAATAACAAGAAATTAGAAAGATTCGAGGATAATCTAAAGGATACACCAAGTTCCGCACTGGAAAAGGATTCATAAACACGAAAAGATCCTACAATCTGAAGCTCTGTAGTGGCTAAGGGAGATTTAAGATCAGCTCTGTAACTTTCGGACAGTTTTTCTGTCTAGATATTATCCATTGAAGCTGTGGCTTGATCTGTACTCAACTCGTACTTCTTTCTACTTTCTAGGCTACTGGAAAGCTTGATTTCCATAAATCTTTAATAACTCTTTCTCATCCAGGTCATCTTTCATAAAACTAATATACTGAAGCCATTGAATTGATCAAATTCTTCAATTTTTTTGCCTCAATTCATCGTGTCAAAAGTCGAGTCAAATAAAGAAACTTTTAGGGTTTCTATATGTAAATCTAATCCTTTAATACCATGTGTTTAAAACCATAGAAATAAAGAAAAATAAATGGATTGGTGTTTGGATTGGATTGGATTACTTTATGGTCGAAAAATGAGAACACATCTCTTTTGTTGCATTCAATCCTTGTCTCAAGAGTCCATGAGTTGAAGCTTGTACTTTCTGATCGAAAAATGAGAACACATCTCTTTTGGTGCATTCAATCCTTGTCTCAAGACTCTAGTGTCACTAGAAATCATTGTGTTTCCATGTATAGTATGAAGTAAATCAAGAAAAGTGAGTTTAAACCTAAACACAAGTGATCTGGCATAACAGAGAGCTTAAAAGAGGCATCGGTTCAATTACCTGAACCCTAGCCAAGCAGATCTTGACCCTATTCTTGGAAGATTTTTGAATGTACAATTGAAAAGTCTTTGATTTGGCTTGGGCTATTATCCATTGAAGCTGTGGCTTGATAGGCTTGGGCAACTGGCTTAGCCTTTCCAAATTCATTTGAATGCAATCCCATTACAATCAAAATCAAACTATTTACCCTAAAAAAGCTCAAAAGATTCCAGATTCTGAACCTCTTAGCTCATAAAATTCTCAGAAATTCTCAGAAATCGGATTGTAAAAACGAGAAATATTAGAAACTTTACGGCTTCTAATTGCTCGAATTGTGAGATTATCATTTTTATAAAGAGATTTGATTCTTTATAACACCATGGAACATGTGAACAATGAGAGAACCTCTTGCTAAAGCTTTTAAACAATGAAATTTGGTGTCAAGTGTACGGAAACTAGAAGGAATTAGTGCCAAATATTGTAAACTAAGCCTAAAAGTGAATTTTACAATTGTTGACCTATTTTTAATCTAATAAACAGCTTAAACTTTAACTAGAACTAAAACTGAAAATTTTAGACTCTGAAGTCGTTGAAATCGAATTGATTGGCTGATTCTGATAAGTCTCTTTTTCAGATTGGTGACTCGTATCTCCTTTCCCCATCCGTTCATCTCGGTCTTCAATTCGGCGTCATCTCCGCAACGGCAACGCTTTGCCTCATCGTAGCAGCACTTCACTCGTTCATGACTTCTCTCAGAGATCATCCGGTGGGTCTTTTGATACCTATCTATTGGTGGCTTGTGCCAGACGGCGAGCGATTACGTGGCCCTACAAAGAACACCCAATCATTTACAGAGATTCTTCCTTTTCCTTTGTAAATATCTCAAAAAGCTTTAAATTTGTACCCAGGGGTTTTCGAAGTCGGTGAATCCATTGGAGTTATTCATTTTCTTGTAGCTAGCACTCAAATCTTGCAAGATAAACGTCTGTTTCTAAGATATAGAAATATAAAGTAGTTACTGTATTCTCTCTAATAGTAGTGCACCTAAATTCCTCGAAATCTCGAGAACCGCTTATCAGAACCTATCGATGTGGGGTCGGAAAATGTAGCTGACGATGAGATCTTGTGGGGGATTTGAGTGTTGAGCTTCTGCGAAGACTTTGAAACCGTCAAATCGTCATCAACTCGGCTCGATGCACTACTATTAGAGAGAATAACTGTAAAGTTATAAAGAAACTCTAATATTACAATAGTTTATCTTTCAATTTATCTAAAACTCTTCATTTTTACAAAATTTTCATCAATTTTCATCGATTTTTACGTGAATTCTCATGAAAATAAAAGCTTAGACATTTTTTGGAATAGACCAATGATTACCAAACTCTCTCAAATGAAAAACATTTCGATTTGGATTAGAAAAAGTCGAGTTTCTTATCAAGTATTTGGGATAATCGGTTGAAAAGAAAAAAAACGACTCTTTCTAAGTGCCAAAAGTTTCCTAAGTTCCGAACTTTCTGGAGAACTTCCCAAAAAAAAAAAATCGTTCGTTTATGTGATCGAAAATCAAGAATGATATTCGTGGATTTGGATTTAAAAAATTTAATCTTAAATCTACAGCATCATTGGGCAAAGAATAGGGTTTTGCTAGGCAAAAGATTCGATTGGGGATTGAATCGATTGAGAGATTGAATTGATTCAGCAATTGAATCGATTGACCAATTGAATCGACTTCTCTTGCAACCCTAAATCCTTAATTAATGCTTAAGAAAGCCTTGATTTCTTTAAAGCTAAAGAAAGCTTGATGTAAAGTATCGAATTGGGTAACTGAAAGACCATTTATAAGTTAACTTCTGTGCTAGATCATTTGCGTTTACGTTTTACAACAACACGAACAAAGCCTGCTAAAGCTTTTAGTGAATTGAGCCTTCTTTTGTATACTTCTTTGTCTTATAAAACGAATTCTTGACTTAAGAATGGTGAAGAATTGATGTAAGAAAGGATTTGTTTAGATTCCCAAATAACAATAACCCAAAAAGAATAGCTAATGATCCGTCTAGTCTATTGAAAAAACGAAAAGAAAACTGTCGAGCTTCTAACACGTCTTTGCATACTTGAATCGACTTCTCTTGCAACCATTTTTACGCTTTTACCCTTTACAACAACGAACGAATCAAAGCCTGCTAAAGCTTTTAGTGAATTGAGCCTTCTTTTGTATACTTCTTTGTCTTATAAAACGAATTCTTGGCTTAAGAATGGTGAAGAATTAAGGATTGGAAGAATTTTGAGAAAGGATTTGTTTAGTTTCCCGCAAAATAACTCAAAAAGAATAGCTGATGATCTGTCTAGTTTATTGAAAAAAAACAAAAACAAAGACTGTAGAGCTTCTGACACGTTTTGGCTATTTTAGAGCTGGATTAACCTTAAAAAAAAGGCATGTGTATTTGAATCAAATTTCAGACAAAAGAAGACCTAGAGGAAGCCTGTTGTTCTCGATCAGCGCGACTCGTCATTTTTGCACTTGGTCAGGTTTTTCCATTAGAAAAGAAAGATTTAAACAAAAAAGAGCACATAATTTGAAGTAAATGCTGTCTTTTCTGTATCTTATTACCAATAGATCTATAAAATAGAAAAGAATATCAAATAAAGAAATGAGTAACAAGAAAGAAGTGAAAAAAAAAAAAAACTTTTCTTACTTAAAGAGTTATTTTTGATTTTAAAAACCATTAAACCTTTCTCCAATCTTTAAATAAATTGTAGAAAAGATTGTAAAATTAATAAGATAAAAGCTCTAAATAGAAATATAATAGAAATATAATAGAAATATAATAGAAATTTTGATAAAACTTCTTTTCAGTGATTCCCGGTGTACTTACTTTCATCACTTATCACTATTCAACAAATGGAATCTATGATTTCTCAAGGTAACATTTGAAAATCGTTAAAAAACCCTCAATCTCTAAATAAATAAACGAAAAATTCGTTGACCTATGATGTTTTTTTGATGGATTTAAAAGCTAGAGTAGGCAATTTTATCCATTTTATTCAATTTCATCCAATTTTATCCTCTTATCCATAGCTTATTCGTATGTCTACCACCAAAAATAACCTCATTCAGCAAATTTTTTCAATCAAAAAAAGTAATCTGACTACGTAAATTGATCACTGTGTTTTGTGGCTCAAAAACAAGGATCACTTTTTGATTTAAAGTGATTTAAAATAGGGGAAATTGGTGTGAAGTGCGTTGAAAAAAGGGAAATTGATGTGAGCAACGGCGAGCTCTTCCTTCTCGGATTGCAAAAGAGTGCCACGCTTTTCGGCGGTGAAGTATTGCTCGCGGATATCGTCGCGAGCGCGTTGCTCCTCTTCGACTTGTTTCTGCAACTCGGCGATCTGATCTTGGGTCTTCTTCAAGTTGCCCTGAGCTTCAGATATGACACTTCATCAAAAATCCACCAGTACTCAAAAATAGAAAATGAAATCAAAAAAGCTGCTTTACTTTCTCTCATTTGAATTCTGTGAATGTTTTAGAGAAGGCTTGTAGAGTGTTTTAGACTGTTTTAGACTGTTCTAGACTGTTCTAGACTGTTTTAGACTGTTCTAGACTGTTCTAGACTGTTCTAGACTGTTTTAGACTGTTCTAGACTGTTTTAGACTGTTCTAGACTGTTTTAGACTGTTTTAGACTGTTCTAGACTGTTTTAGACTGTTCTAGACTGTTCTAGACTGTTCTAGACTGTTTTAGACTGTTCTAGACTGTTCTAGACTGTTCTAGACTGTTCTAGACTGGTTTTAGACTGTTTTAGACTGTTCTAGACTGTTCTAGACTGTTTTAGACTGTTTTAGAGTCTTTAGTGAAGAATCTTGTTGAGCTTTATTTGTATAAACAAATCCTAAGGTAACTTAAGATCTATCATAGTATTGCATCTTTATAATCATCACAAAGTCTACAATTTTTTTATCTGATTTTCAAGATTCATCAAGAGCAATCTCCCGAATCGTCCAAAAAAATGATTTTCACGATAATCCTGAGGTCAACAGGGGAAATTTTCTGCATGAATCACTGAAAATGATTTAGATTTAAACAACAATCAAAAAAGTTTCATTTCAAGGTACAAAGAACACCCATGAACATTAATAGATTGAAATTTGAATGTTTATCGATTAGAAAAAGAATAAAACAAGAAAAGACAATAAAAGAATTGAAAAGAAAAGAAAAGAAAAGAAAATAGAGGACAGAAATGAGAGGTTCAACCAGATTCAACTCAAATTTTAACCTTTTCTCTTACCAGAACTCTTATTTAATCTTATTTGGCTTAAACGCTTTTCAGAGTTTTCTAGAGTTCTAGAGTTTCTAGAGTTCTAGAGTTCTAGAGTTCTAGAGTTCTAGAGTTCTAGAGTTTTCCAGAGTTTACAAATTCCAGATCAAAACCAATACTTGACAGAATTGATGTTCATTTCCTTTTCCAGAGTTGTTGAGCGCGTCGAATGGCTGTTCATCTTCACCTATCTCATCCCGGCCGTTTTCTTCCTCTCACTCGCAATGGCGTTCGCCATTTGGAACATTGTACTTGGTTCGTTTTCAACAATTATGGAAAGAAAATCTAGAAATAAACTAGATACTAGCATTCTTCTTGTTTTATGGAACTTATTCCTTTCGAATGATCAAATAGGTTTTGATAATCTTAGCGTTACCCATTGTGCCGTTTTGCTCAAGTTATTGGCCTGCTTCCTCCTGTCTGGTTTTGAAATTTGATCCTTGGATTAACTCTGAATCGTTCTGAACTAGTTCTTTGTGTATTTGAACTTTACTGAGCTCTAACTGAGCTCTAACTGAGCTCTAACTGAGCTCTAACTCAGCTCTAACTGAGCTCTAACTCAGCTCTAACTCAGCTCTAACTCAGCTCTAACTCAGCTCTGACAGAACGCTAACTGAGCACTAAGATAGTCAATGATCACAGTCAGTGAAAGCCATTTTTAAACTAATCCCTAGGATGCCAACTTCTCTAAATCTTCTTATCGTTGTTTTTCTTGAACCCCACGATTCAGGGGTTATTCGTCTGCTCTTGTTTATTTAAAAGTGCATTTGCCTAATGCGATTAGAAACGATCGGATTTCAAGCTAAATTCAGATGAAATCCCAGAAAAAAAAAACGAATCTATTCCATTTTCTTGATTATCTCAATTTTTTTCTTTTTAAGGATTCAGTGAAAACATGGTTTTTGAAAAGTACTCTTAAATTTTGAGGAACTAGACCGGCTGTTTATTGGACTTGATTCGGTCATTTGTTTATTCAAGAGTATTCAAGAACGGGGATACAAATTGAAGCCAAACTAGGATGAATATTAAGTGTCATAGCTAGCAGATAAGTGTACTTTTTGTTCAAAAATCTAAACAAATCTTTATTTTTTTAATTTTACTGAAGAAAATGGAAGAAAACCAGTATATTTTTTTACTTCAATTCTTCAATTCAATTAGCTTCAATTCTGCAAGATTAAATCTCGAAAAAGTTCGAGTTTTCAGCTTAGAATTGAATCGATTTATGAATGCCTACCCAAAATAATAAAGATAAAACCCAATGAAAGGCAGAAATTGTATTGAAAACTTCTAGGAAATCAACTCGATCGCTCGACAACACCGAACTCTCGATGTCTTGCCATTTCACCAGCCACTTCAGCCTCAATCTCTTCATTGCTTCTCATGAGTGCACTCACCGCCGATGTTGTGCTATTCATTTTAAGGTGATAAACGATTGTAATTATTGTAATTATTGTAACTATTGTAATTCTTCAATTTCATCGGATTCATCGGATATAAACAAAATAAATAGAATGGACAAGAGCAGAAGGAGCTGTTGTAGCTATTGTAGCTATTGTAGCTATGCTAGCCATTGTAGCTCTTGTAGCTATTGTAGCTATTGTAGCTATGCTAGCCATTGTAGCTCTTGTAGCTATTGTAGCTGTTGTAGCTATTGTAGCTGTTGTAGCTATTGTAGCTGTTGTAGCTATTGTAGTTATTGTAGTTATTGTAGCTATTGTAGCTGTTGTAGCTATTGTAGCTGTTGTAGCTATTGTAGCTGTTGTAGCTGTTGTAGCTGTTGTAGCTATTGTACATTTCCAAATTCCTTAGAGAATAAATTCTAGTTTAAATCATTGCTTCAATCAGAGAATAACAATATAACAAATAAGATCTAAGTACTCTTTTAAGAACGAAACATTTCAACAACTCCTTTCAGAGAATTCACAATAACAGCTGTCCTCGGTCTGTCAATGGCTCAAATCATCCTCTGTCTAGCCATTTTCAAATTCTCCGGCTATTTATTCAGGTTTTTAGATATTCAGCTTATGATTATCATTCAAAACTTATGATTATCAACTTTAGAATACGAATGCTGACTGAATGTGATCCAGATGGTGGCTCGACAAGGTCATTGGAGAGAAAACGAGATATTTCAAGAGCTCTGCTAGAACACGTTGATGCTAAGCATACTTATGTAAGGATTTTTAATGTTCTTTGCAAGAAAACAAGGGTTTTTCTTTTCCTAAGCTTTCGAATGGTCCAGTCTAGGTTCAGCTCTGAAACATTGGCTCTAAACTAGCTTTGACTTCTAGATTCAGCTCTGAAAAACTGACTCTAAACTAGCTTTGACCTGACCTAGCCTAGACTGGTCTGCTCTGAAGAATCAAAAGCTGAAATGATTGAATTAAGTCTCATTGGAAAACTTTCATTGTGCTCATCGTAAAGCAGTGAATCTCAGGCTTTAGGTTTCAGCTTTGAACGAAAAATAAACCTGAAATTCATACATTTCAATCAAGAAAATTGAAATGATCGTTTCGTTTAACTATACAAAAAAAAAGTGCAAAAATTCTGTGTTTTTGAAAGGTTTTTGATCAGGAATTGAAGATTTTATGTAAAAAATGAGTCATTTTCATGGAATCTTTGAGATAAAACTTTGGAAGTGACACTAAAAGTGAAGAATTGAGTTGTTCATTGAATTAATTGAATTAATTGAATTAATTGAATTAATCTTGTTAATTCCAACTACATTCTATTCTATAAACCTGTTTAAAATTTCAATTTAAAAGGAAAACTCAAATTTATAGAATTTGAAATCGATTTTGATAGAAAGAAAACCTTTTAAAAGAAAGAAAACAAAAGATTTAAGCATTAGAAATGTTGAGAAATGTTGATTTTTAAAGCAAAAATTCATTATACTATTAGGTTGATGCATAAGTCTTTTCGTTTTTTTCGTACTTCTGTTAAAAAGTAACAAATTCACCAATTAACCTATGCTTTTCTCTAAATAAAAAGTGTTTTTTTGTTCAATTTGCATCTTTTTAAATGAATTTCGGTTCACTTTGAAGCAAATTCGAGAGTGAAAAACGCCTTTTTCGTAAAAATCTATAAAAAACTCTACGGAAAAATTGGCTGAATGAATTTCTCTGAAAATTTGGCTATACACCTAACTTTTTGTGTTCTATCTTTTATCTATTGACACGAAGATAGGTTTTCTTTAGCTAAGGTGTCTAAACCGCTCAGGCTCAGGCTCAGGCTTAGGCTGAGGCTTAGCCTGAGCCTGAGCCTGAGCCTGAGCCTAAACCGCATCATCGAGTTAGCCCTTTTTGACTACCCGACTTCATACTCTCAAGAAAATCCAGGCATTCAATATTTTTAAACCCGTTTTAATGTTATTTTGCAGAAAAATAATTGCTTTTTCTAATGAAATCAACCGTAGTTTAATTCGTGCATTTGTTGGCTTGAAACGGCAGACGAAAAGGAACGAAAAGACTTATGCATCAACCTAATAGTTTATAAGTATAGAAAAATGTCAGAAAAATGAAAATAATAACATTTTATTGGCTAAAAACTTCATCATCAATATCGAGTTTGACCAGGAATTCGCTTCTGAGATCACAAAGATCACAAAGACGATCAAAGACTTTATCATAAAGCCTATCATTCAACTTTTGATCGAGCTTGTTTCAAGCCTTTCAAGCCTCCCTCCAATTACCGTTTATTCCGGTCGATTCAAAACCTTTTGGCTAATGAGAAATTCAAAACCCGTGAAGATGTTCAAAAATGGATCGCCAAGTTTTTCGAGTCACAACCGGCTGAGTTTTTCAAGATTATTTATTACCTCTTGCGATCTTTTGCGAAAAGAATTGATTGATCAATAATAATAATCATCAATTCTTTGCGCAAAAGATGGCAAGAATAGATGGCAAGAATGTAATCAATAATAATGGTGAATATATTTTGGATTAAACAATGTTGTTTCTGTTTTTAGATAAATAAAGATAAATTTTGTCAACGACTAAAACGCTCGTTTATCCCCGAAAAACCTAATACATTCAACTCTCCAGGAGCACGACAAAGTGAAGTTGTTGTGAAGTGGGACTTGATAAGTTCGTCTCTTGGAGTCAACTTGGATGGTCTGGTCCTTTTCTTCTTGTAGGCATAACTTGGAGAATAGACTTGTTGAATGGCATTTTTGGATTGTTTAACACATTTATCAATGTCATCATGGGTCAATCTGGCATCGCGATATGATGATTTATTCAAGTTCTTACCCAATAAAATGTTATTATTTCCATTTTTCTGACATTTTTCTATACTTAGAGACTAGTATAATCAATTCTTCCTTTAAAAATCAACATTTCTCATGCTTAAATCTTTTGTTTTCTTTGTTTTAAAAGGGTATTCTTTCTATTAAAATCGATTTCAAATCCTATAAATTTGAATCTTCTTTTTAAATTGAGATTTTAAACAGATTTGTGGAATAGAATGTAGTTGGAAATTAACGAGAAATAATTCAATGATCAAGTCAATTCTTCACTTCAAATGTCACTTCAAAAGTTTCCTTTCAAAGATTCGATGAAAGTGACTCATTTTCTTACATAAAATCGTCAAGTTCTGATCAAAAATCTTTCAAAAAACCGATAATTTTCAGTCTTGAATATAGTCAAACGAAAGGATCATTTCCATTTCCTGATTGAAATTCTTTCTCCTTCGAGTTTTTATCTCTAGTTTTTGACTTTTAATCAAAAGATAGTTTTATGAAAGAAAATGTCGGCAAAAAACTCTAATCGAGCAAAAAATCGAGTACACTTTTTGCGCCTAAATCACTCCGCTTTTTTCAGTCATTTTTTGCCAAAATTCTCGTTTCCAATCTGATTTTTCGTGACAAACATTTGCCTTTTTACGCCTTTTTACCAGAAAATCGGTCAAAAACCGGGATTTCTCAAGTTCAAAGAATGCTTTTACTACAGAAATTTGAGAAATCTGTATAGTTTTTTTTGATTCTTTTTTTGATTTATTTCATTTAAAACCAATGTCCCAAGTTCTCCAGTTCAGTTTTTTTTAGGGAAAATGATTGGAAAATGATTGTTTACTTTTCGTAATCCAAAAGATAATCATTTTGATGTATTTTGAGACTAAAATCCCGAAAAACTATAAAGAAAAAGTGTCATTTTCTAAAAAAGTTTCAAATTCAGACATTGAAATGAAATCATTAGCGTCAAAGAACGAAAAAAATGAGCTCGAGTGCTGAAGTTTGAGTGAGATTCGCGCATTATCTATAGGGATTTGCGTTTGTACGGAAAATGGGAACAAAAATCGACTAAAATTGGTCGACTAAACGCCTTTTGTTAGGGAAAAAACAAAATTCAAGCCATTTTGAAACATTTTGAAGCAGTTTGAAACATTTTGAAACATTTTGAAACATTTTGAAACACTTTGAAACATTTTGAAACCGTTTAAAACATTTTAAAACATTTTGAAACACTTTGAAACACTTTGAAACACCTTGAAACCCTTTCCAAGCAGTTACATAAGCAAAAAGCTCATCTGATATCACTAAAGTGACGCGCTTTTAGTTCGATGAGTATACAAGTTCACCACGACGCGTTCAGGTTTGAGTAAACTGGCATGCCAAGTTCTCCTATAGCAATCGATCCTCAAAACATAGCCACTTACGATAGAAACTCTAATAGAACCACCACTTATCGAAGTTTTGCGTAGTCTAACTAAAGAAAGGCACCACGTGAAGGTAAAGATCACCTTGACCCTAATAAGTTTACTCTCAAACAAACGCTTATATCTTGACACCAGCACGTTTCTGTTTGCCTGCTTTAGTATCAAATTAAAGTAGAGAATATGAGTGATTTTTTGAGATATAACATATATTTTTAGCATTAACCAGCGCTTAGAAAAAAATAATTGAAAATCAACAAAAATCCGCTCTTTTTTGCCACTTTTCAATCATTTTTTTCTAAGCGCTGGTTAATGCTAAAGATTTGTGTCATATCTCAAAAAATCACCCATTTTCTCTACTTTAATTTGATACTAAAGCGCGCAGAAAAAAGCGTAGTGGTGTCAAGATATGAGCGTTTGTTTGAGAGTACACTTAGACTACGCAACGCTTCGATAAGGGGTCGTTCTATTAGAGTTTTTACGGTCTTACCTTGATCAAAGCTAAGCCAGATCAGAGGAAATTGAAAAATATATACTAGGATTTGTGATTTGAGCTTTAAGGTGAAATGAGACGTTGATTTTTCAGTTTCAGGGCAGCGACGTGGACAGCGTTCGGTCGGATTCAGCTCATTTTCTGAGCAATTTGACATCAAATCTCTACGATCGTCAACCAATGGTTTCAATTGTTTGAAAAGCTGTTTGAAAAGCCAAAAATTCCTTATCTCTACATATAAAAAGTCTTTCTTTTTTTTCAAAATTCTCTTTTGTTTTAGATGAAGCTTTCTTGCTTGTCCCCCATTTATTTTGTCGATTTCTTTTGTCAATTTCTTTTGTCAATTTCTTTTGTCAATTTATTTTGTTCATTTATTTTGTCCATTTATTTTGTCCATATTTACCTAGTTGTTGGTGAGAGATTCTCGGAGATAATCCCCTCACTTTCAATGAAAAGCTCTCCAATACCGGTATCATAAATGCTTGTCTATAGATTTGTTTGTTTTTTTTTTTGAAACTCTTTGAAACTCCAATCGATTTTTATGTTCTCTGAGTTCTCGTAAAGGCTAGAGACCTGATTTTACAAATTTTCAAATCAAATTTGTCGTTTACCCTATAAAATCCCATTTTTACACGCGAAATCCCGTTTTTTCCCCGCTATTTTCGAATTTCAGTACACCAGATTGCTGCCATTTATTGGATAAGTTATTATTGGATTGGACGAATTGGATTGGATATTGAAAATTTATTGGATAAGTTACGCAAAAAGAGAACACACAAAGAGTTTCGCTTGAATCTTGACTTTTTTTGACTTAACTTCACCCTTTGACTTTTGACTTACCGTATTTTCTGTAATAGTAGTGCGCACTACTATTTTTTCAAGCCCCCTCCAGACTGCACTACTACTACAGACTGCACTACTACTACAGACTGCACTACTACTACAGACTGCACTACTACTACAGACTGCACTACTACTACAGACTGCACTACTACTACAGACTGCACTACTATTACAGAAAATACGGTAATCAAGATTTTTGTCCAGTTTTTGTTTCTTTTGAAAATCCGATCTCTATCTGTGATCATTTAATGAAAAACCTTTTTTAAACATTTGAACATTTCAAATTTATTCTTTTTCTATTCAATAGTTTTGTATTTTTAATAAATAAATAACCAAAAAAGTGAATAAACATCCAAAAAAGTCAATAAACATCCAAAAAGTCAATAAATAACCAAAAAATTAAATCAAAAATCAATTTCTTAATCAAAAAAGCTATAGAAAATGTGTAAGAAAGAAGCTTTTTGTCAAACCTTTTTTACTGTTTCGAAAAGCTACTCTTTTCTTGAAGAAAACAACACAAAATAAGACAGAAACAAGGGGAATAAAGGGTAATAAATTGAGGATCTTCTCAAATAGATTACTTTAATATCTTTATTTAAATCTCCTTGTTATTTTGGAGTGCTCAGAAGTGATTTTGAGGAATAGGAAAGTCTTCATGACTTCTTCATGAAAGTCTGCGCATCTCTAAACAAAAATAGACGCTCAATTTTAAAATTAGCCTCAATTTTTGATCAAATTTTTAAAATTTGATCAAAAAAATTCACTGTACCTGTTTTAGCTTTACCTACAGGGTGATCAGAAATAAGAAATAATGTTGCGGGATTTTCGGCACCCTATAATCTTCAAAGTTTCAATTTTGCGAGACGAATTTATTTTTAACCTATTCTCTGTGATTGTTTTTATTAGTTTCTTTTTTGTTTTACTTTGTTTCAAGTCTATTCGTTTGTTTACAGGATGGCAAACAAGGGATCTGCCATTCTGGAGCTTCATCTGCTATTCTGGTCAATGCGCGAGTGCGATCGCGCGATTGCTACGTGTTTCTCATCAGCTCGTCAAGAATCTTTTTGGATTTTTAAAAAAATAGGCTAAATTAGGCCGCAACGTTATTCCTGGTCACCCTGTATTTATTTTTTGTTTGTTCTTTTATTAATCTTTCAGTTTTTTCTCAATAACGTTTTGTTCTTTAGGATGATTGACGTTTGCGAGAGAGGAATCGACTGATTGCTTCAGGAATCGATTCATTGCTTCAGGAATCGACTGATTGTTTCAGGAATCGATTAATTGCTTCAGGAATCGATTCATTGCTTCAGGAATCGGCTGATTGTTTCAGGAATCGATTCATTGCTTCAGGAATCGATTCATTGCTTCAGGAATCGATTAATTGCTTCAGGAATCGATTCATTGCTTCAGGAATCGATTGATTGCTTCTTCAGATTGCTTCGACGACGGTTCTATTCTTTTACCAGCGAGGAAATACGAGTGAATGGTTGAAAAAATGAAATGAAAGCTAGACTAAGCCACAGGACAAAAGGAACCTTTGACGAAGCTTCATCGACGTTATTCCCTTTTCACTGAAGACACAGCACCAATAATTCTTCATCAACACGACAGTGAAAAGGGGAAGCAAACATCATTCTACAAATTGATCAAACAGATCACAACTTGGACACAGACGATCGGGTTTATGTGGAAAACTATGAGACTACTACAGAATTTCAAAGGACTTTTTGAAAATTTTTGTTGGTCGTTGCCAACTCAAGAAAAACACTGCTAAAAAAGGCGTCTTGGTCAAGTCGATTGTTTCATGTAGGCAAAATGAGTGATGTCAACTCGATCTCATTGATATGCATCATGGAGAGTACAAATTGATCATTTATCAGGTAGATTACTTTATCCAAATACTACTTTTGTTTAATATTTTTTTATTTTACGATCATCTTACAAAGTTTCGTTGATGGCCGTCAAAGAAGAAAGAAAGAAAAAGAAGGAAGAAAGACAAAGAAGAAAGAAAGAAAAAGAAGAAAGAAAGAAGAAAGAAAGAAAAACATCTCATCTTATCTGTCGAAGTGAGCAATGTTTGGAGGAGATGTTAAGGATGCTAGGCTTACCAAAGATTACTGCATTGTTGAAGGTTTCTTTCTATGTTAATGTTGTAACTAGTGTGTTAAAGTCCACTTAGACTCAGAGCAAAGTATGGTGAATGGCGAAAATTAGCTTCAAAATTGACTTCTCTATTATTTGTAGCTATTTTTTGTTCACAATCTCTTTGTCTCGAAAGACATAAAGCCTCCAAGAAGCGTGGATCCTCTACCGTAACCAAGTTTGCTTCGTTTTTGCCCTTATGAATTACTAGCGACGCAGATTTGCTATAATTTTCGGGGGATTACAAGCGAAACTTTCCACTTACCGCAACGATTCGAATCAGATTCTCATTCTTGTTATATTCGACGATACTTCAACGATACTTTCTCATAAATTTGACTCAAAATGATCACTTCCTCAGTCGGAACCCTGCCTCTTGTTCTACAAGAGATCATCGAGCATCTACAAGATCTACAAGATCATGGAGCATCTACAAGATCATCGAGCATCTACAAGATCTACAAGATCATGGAGCACTACAAGATCATCGAGCACTACAAGATCTACAAGATCATGGAGCATCTACAAGACACGGCAGCACAAGACTACAAGACATCGAGCACTACAAGATCTACAAGATCATGGAGCATCTACAAGACATCGAGCATCTACAAGACTACAGATCTGGAGCACACAGACATCGAGCATCTACAAGATCTACAAGATCATGGAGCATCTACAAGATCATCGAGCATCTACAAGATCTACAAGATCATGGAGCATCTACAAGATCATCGAGCAGCTACAAGATCTACAAGATCATCGAGCATCTACAAGATCTACAAGATCATGGAGCATCTACAAGATCATCGAGCATCTACAAGATCTACAAGATCATCGGGCATCTACAAGATCGATCGATACCCTGCAAAATTCGAAAAAATTTCCAATGGAGGTCGTTATGTAAATGCCGACAAATAATGTCTAAAAGAATTTGAGAATCAATGAGAAATTTGTTGTGATTTAAAACGAGCAAGGTCAACTCCGAGAAAAGCCGCTGGTTTTTTTTGAAAACTGAAGATTTAGTGTACTCTACTCCGTGCCCAGGGAAATCTCCGTCTTTTGACATTTTTCCCGGATATTTCTGTTTTAGTTTTCAAAGATGGCGTTTTTTTAGCTCTATACAGTCTTTTTGAACGATGAATTTCTTACCGTGCCCCAGTACTCTAATCCAATTTCCATTTCTACTCTATCTTCTTTTAAATTCCCTACCTTAAGTCTTGTTTAAGTAAATTGAATAAAATCTGAACTTGATTTGCATTAGAAAAGAACTACCGTAATCTTGGCTCTAGTTTTTATCCAATCTAATGTTTGTTTTGACATCAGGACTAGAAGCAGAGCCCAGAATTTAGTCTTTAATCGGATCCGAAGCACTGATCGTGTTTGCTTTCTCAAATATCGATAATAGATCTCTCAGTTATTGCTTTCTTTTATTCTTCAGTCAGGAATAATCTTTCGAAGATTGTCGATCATTTTTGGCGTCAAGATTTTTCGAGATCATTTTTGGAGTCAACAATTTGGGAAAATGTGTTTAAAAGCCGTTAAAAAGTCGTTAAAAAGCCGTTCAAAGCACTTTGAACAAAACAAAAAGCACTTTGAACCGTCAGTGTTGATTAACCGTCAGATTTGAACCGTCAGTGTTAGATTATCACTGTCAATCTCAACAGTGACAAGTCTATCTTGATTCGTGAATAACTGCTCTATGCAGTCGTTTGAGTTGTCAAACAATATTTAATAGAAAGCGGAAAGCCGGTTGATCCTTAAATTAGCTAAATTTCATGCTTTAGCTCAAGAATATGCTCAAATCTCTGAAAACAATTTTTCCTACAAATTCTACATTGTCTTAAATCAAAAAACAATAGCTATTGCTAAAGAAATGTTAGATTATCGTAATGTAGTAATGTTAGATTATCGCTATCAATCTCAACAATGACAAGTCTATCTTGATTCGTGAACAACTCGACTCAAATTCTAGAAACTAAGAACATAAAACTTGACTTGAAGTCCAATTCTATAACTCTTTTCACTCTAAAGTAACCATTAAAGCCTGGATCACCTACCGTAGTCTAAACCATTTCGTATTTGGTGATGCCATGATTTCTCTTCTTTATCTTCTTCATGACTTGAATTGGATCAATTTTGATTTCTCTTCTTTATCTCCTTCATAACTTGAATTAGATCAATTTTCATCAATTTCCTTTTCATCAATG